ATGCGAGCGAGTGTTCCAAAAGGCAAAAATCAGAAGGCAACCAGTCATTCATAGTCATAATGTGGTACCTTCAGTACGTGTTTCGAAGAAGAAGAAGGCTTTCCTCAGCGGCCCCAATTACTCACAGACACCGTCGTCTACGGTTGGACCGTCGCCCGCTTGACACCCTGCGAGGTCGAAATGTGGCGCTTCGAGCCTATGAGAAGGTCCAGGAGAGCGACGTCGTGTAGAGTGACGTGTTTCTTTTTCAGGTCAATGTGATGAGAGCATTTACTTTCTGTGTGTCCGATTCCCTGTAACAGTGGATGATGATGGTTAGGTTGCAGGCCAACATCTCTAAAATAGTGATGTTCTTGTGAAACCCGACTGATTGCATACCCCAATACAGATCAGAAATGCTCATGACATCCTGTTGTCTTCCTTGTTTGCCCTAAGAATCCTTGCTCCATGCCATGCCTTGAAACGTTTCCCATTTGAGGGACCGGATTCAGGAGGCCCATCCGATGGTCCGCTTGGTCTCGCAAGCTCTGGTCCGCGGCTTCAATTCGGTGGCTGGAAACACGTGGCAGGCACAGGGAATTGGAGTATGCTGGACATGAAGCATCCTTCTTGTGTTGCTATATCGTTATGTTCTTGAAGAACATGTTCGCAGATCCCAGGTGAGATCTGATTTGCGTGTACTGCACGCTTTTACACTGCTAGAATGAGAAGAACAAGGTCTGATCAACAGCAGTCCCATCCACCCAAATCCTATGGTTCTCGTGCTGCAGTCGATGCCTGGAGTGGCGATTGGCCCCGCGGACGTCGCACTTTTGCCCTTGCCGACCTCGCACGAGGTGCCGTGACCCGTCGATGGCGGGGGCCTGGTTGACATGTACAAAAACCATGTGAAGCCCCTGCAATTGAGTCGAGTGCAGATGTGCGGTGTTCTATCGTTTTTTGGTTTGAGTTCTTTTTTCGCATGTGCTGTCTAATTGAGTGCACAGCCACTCATTGTATATATAAGGACATATTGAAAGCAGATGGCACACTCTCCAAGTTCGGTGGTTTATATGGACCCCATTTAGCTGACATAGTGGGGTGATTTGAAGCACAGACCACCATGAAGACGTCCTCGACCAGAGGATTCCAGCTATGAAATCGAGTTTGCCTATGGCGTCTTGGACAATTCAGAACGCCCTTTGGGTCGCGTTCCCGCTCGTGCGGGAATGGCAGCCACTTGGCGTTTGCATCCATATGTCTACTTTTCGAATCTTTTTGGCCCTTCCTCTTCTCTCTTCATTCCTGAGAAAATGAAGTCATCAATGGCTCCATGTTGGGTGAGAGCACTGCTATTGTTGAGGATGGAACCATTGTCAATAACATTGAAGACTCAGGTGAGTTTCGTGCATTTAGATGACGAAATCCACGTTGACAACATTCCGCCAGAGGATATGCTTGTGACTGCAGATGAATTGCCAGAGGCTCCCAGCATCGGGTCTTTCGTGCCAGTATCCTCCTAGCCCCAAGCATGCAGGGAGGCTCGAACATACTCTGTCCAGTGTTTTGCTCAGGAGATTTTTACCATGAACATCCATGAACATATTAAGACAGAGATGCCCGACTCGGTCCATTTCAGGATCTCTTCCAGGATCTCGGAGGTCTGGGAACCACCCTTCGGCAGCCCGGAAATGCCACCGCCCCAACCGCCGCTTCCTCGGCGCGGGAGGCGAAGGTCGCCGACGTCGCCGCGGGCGAAGATGTCGCCGCGGGCGAAGACGAGGCCAGCCTTGGGACACGGATGGTGGATGGACGACATGGACAGCTTTCATGATGTGGTCCTCATTTTGATTTTTTGACAACTTTACCACATGTCCTTTTCTCGCTTTTGTATGCTTTTGGTTCCTTGCATCTATGGCACTACAGATTGGAAAAGGCATGATGCATGGACACAACATATGCTGGGCCCACTCCCCCCGAGCCGGCCCAGCATTTCTGCAGCATGATCCGTCCAGGCTACAGTAGCGGCTACAGGGGCAAAGGAAAGTACCAGTGCACTGGAGGAGCTCTGAAGTCTATGACTCATCACGAATCTTCTTTTAGTGACCATGCTCTTCCGATGACCAAAACAGGTGGTGAACTGCACTTGGATTATTATTTCAGTGAGTGACAGTGAGTGTAGTATTTGTGATCATGCTTCTGGAGCTTAGATTGAACCGCTCGAATGGCCCCACCCTTCGTTCCAAAGCAGACATGTTGCTGGCATGCTTTGCAAGATTCTCTGTCAGGAGCCAATGCTCAAGCCTCACATTTCCTACATCCGCGCAAGCAATAAGGATGCAGCGACTCGAATCAGAATCTGGACCCATCACAATAAGAACCCTCAATAACAACCTTGGATCAGTTTGATGAGATGCTCCGCACTTTGTGCAGGGTTCGCCAAACCAAGTCCCCCCGCCACAGCTGTTGTGGGTAGTGGATCGTAACAGACCGAAGCAGAACTGCTTCCCGCAATGGACATTCTCAACTGTCCTTTGATCAGTTTGTGGGAGCACTCTCTAATTTGTGGCCATGTCATCACGTTATCTCAGTGATGCCACACAGACGCATTATTAATATAATGATATATATATATATATATAACATGTTTTTTGTTTTTTGTTGTCACAGGCAGGAGGCCCCTTTTTCTTCATCGTGGGGCTTGTTGACTAAGGTGGACCTCACCTTGCGGTTCTTCCATTTGGGCTCTACCTTTCCAACGGTGTCCGGCGCAGGCTGCCTGGCGTGGATCATTTCCCAGGGTCACAGGATGGTCGTTTGCGGGTTTTGTTGGGTGCCGTTCTTTTCCTCGTGTCGTTCTTAGTGCCGTTTTGGGTAGAGGTTGCGTGAATGCTGTGCCGGAACCAATCGTTGAGTCATTTTGAGTCTTCGGTCTTCCTGCTTCGTGCCTCTCAGGAGCAGGGCACCTTGGCTCACATAGCGGTCTCACATAGCAGAGTGACTGATCATGAATGTTGCAACGGACAAGATTGCCAATGTTTTGCAAAGGCATTTGCATGCATGTTTATCATTTTGGGATTTTGACTTATGTTGATGAAGCACGTGTACACATATATTCACCCAACTGACAGAATCAGGTACCTGTATGTACCTGTTTATTTGGTGCAATAGACAAAATCAAGTGATTATGGAGATGTTCTCCGCTTTTTGGTGGTGGGTGTGGTCGGTCTGGTCTGTCGAGTTCGACGGCATCTTCAGGAATCTCCCACGGCTGTTCAGACCCGCCACCTTTGTGACATCCCTGGCGCCTGGAGAGATGTCCCTTGACTCCGTCGCCGAGATTTCATCGTGGACTCGTGACGTCGCCCATCCGTCGGAAGACTCGCAGATGCATGAGTCAAGGATGTTCAAATGAAGAATGGCGACTTCAATGACAACCACCAAGGGGTTTGCTTTGATTTATAGTAAACTCCTTGGCTCCGAGGCGGGACTTGGCTTTGGAAGTGGGAAGTCTCAAGCCTCGAGGCCGAGCAGTGTTGGGAGCATGTGATGTTCATAGGTCCAATGTAGGTCCCGTGTTTTTCCCCATGCCTTCCTGGTGCCAATGGTGAAATGTAGGTGAACTGAATTGAGAACTCTGAGAATTGAGCTACTGGTGGTGTTCGATGCCATCGATGCTGTCTAAAAAGAGCTTGGAGTTGTTGGAAGCTGCGTGATGTTCCGCTTCGCGGCCATCGTGTGCTTTGGAAGTGTGTGTTTTTTGTGTTTTGTTGGAATGCATGTAAGAATTGTAACAATGTTGCATGCCTCCTCGTGTGCGCGCAGAACATGAAGCTGACAATGAAGCGAGTGACAGAGCCACAGCTGCACAAGCTGAAGTTGTTTGAATCTTTGTAGAAAGAGGACTGCTTCACAACTTATCTCCAAAATACGAGTTTCCTTCATACTATATACATGTTGCCACAACTTGCCATTTGGTGTGAGGTGAATTCTTCGAAGTTGTTGCTGAGACTTCAAGCAGCAGCACAGACGCGGAGCTGCAAGTAGGTTTGGTAAGCCTTGGGTTGGAAGAAACGTAACATGGCCACCTGGTTAAATCCAGTCATATAAAAAGCAACATGTCAGGAAAGAAGGCTTGGTGTGTGGCAGCAAAGCTTTGGCGATGTGACAAGTCCTAGGTGTGTAATGTGCGCGATTTCCAGCAGATTTCATTCGAGGGGGGCCTCTAGCGCCTTCATTCGATTGAAGCCCTACGTTTGCAAAGCACGCCTGCTTTCGAGAGAATGCATGTCCGTGCCAAAAAGGATTGCGATGTGCATCGCAGGGCCCACCGTGTGGGCCACTGTGTGAAGATCCGGGGCCCAGTTCGATCGCAGATCCCGGATCGAAATTGGCCAGATCGCAAGTGTGAGTAGCAGCTTGTGAGGCCGTGGCCCCGTGGCAGCTATACTTCTTATTGACTTGAGCTTAGAGGGCCCAGTGCAATTTCACCCCCCGGCAGGAGCTGAAGACACACCAGCCCTTCAAGTTCTGCAACATGTCGTATGGAAGCTCATGTATGTACGCATGAATGCACACACAAACATGTGTATATCTATATATAGTTTGATTTGCTGTGGCGCTTTCCATTGGAACAGTCCTGCACCCAAGTCAATTCAGATAGAACCATTTAATGAAGTGAACAAAAAGGTGATTGCAGGAGGAAAGCTTTTGAAGCAATTGACCGGTGATCTCTTTGCATACATGTTTGAGGACTTCCATCATGCTTTAGGACCCGTCATCGAGCTTGAGCCTCAGTGGCCTAGTTAGAACACGCGCAAACTTAGCTCGCAGCTTGAGCGTCAGTGGCACATCAAGAACATCCCACCTGGTCGTTGGCATGTTCATTCGACCTCCAGAACCTTGCTAGCCATTTCCAACGTCAAGGAGCTTGGAGCCATGACCAGGGCTTGACAGCCAAGTTGACAGCTCCAGGCTCCCAGTGGCAGTTGATCCTGAGTTTTGGGGCTGAAGATTCGACCATGGAGCGTCCTTTGGAGATGCACGATGGCAGGGAACTCAGCGAGGAGCGTCATTTTTGCCTCCAGAGGGTCCGCTGCTGTTGCTGCACTCCTCCCCGATGGGCACGCGTCCCCATTTGCTTGGTGATCTTCTATGTAGTTTTGATGCCTTTCATTTATCTCTTGGGTCACTTCCTTGTATATCCGGGAGATGACTATGCTCCCGAAAAGCTAGACTTCTTAGGCTATTCCTGTCGATTGTTCAACTTCACTGGTCGCTACGGAGACGTCGTGGCCGAAAAGTGTTCAATGGATTCAGCACTGGGATCTCCAGTGCCGGTCTTGGCCTTCGGCGGCAATGGCATGAACATGTTCGACACTGCTGAATCTGTGATAGACTTCTTCCCGAAGAATCCGCAAGCGGACGTGGCTTGGGAGGTGTATTCTTTGTCCTTCCCTGGGTTTCAGTATGCACCGCGCAGTGGCTGGACCACTGAAGGTAGAACTGAAGCTGATGCGATGGATTTGTTGCACCACCTCAGTTCGGTCAAAGACCAGAAGGTGGTGGTTTTTGGCTGGTCCTTGGGCACCTCTGTCGCTGCTGCTTTGGCCAGCCGGCAAGCGGACCAAGTGCAGTGTGTGCTTCTGGGCAATCCATTCACCAGCATACGGGATGTAGCACTCGCCTGGACCTATGGCATTGCAGGCCTTTATTTGTATTTGCTGGACGAGTGGCCTACCAAACGTTTCGCACAGAACTTCAAGTCGCCCACGATTGTGATGTCGTCAATGGAGGACGAAGTCGTCCCTTTGTGGATGCACCGTGAAGTCTTCCAACAAGTTCCTGTTCAGAAGAAGAAGCTGGCCGAGCTTCACGCAGGACACATGGACATTGGATTTTTCCGGGCCGACACAGAAGAGGCCATCCACCAATGGTGTGTGCCAAGCGCCCTGGCCCGCATGGTGTGAAAAGGGCACGCAGTGATACGCAGTGTGCAGCAAGCATGGAAGGACAATTGGAATTGCAGCCGACGGAACGATTCGGCAATGTGATTGTGGAATCATGTAACAAACTGTAGGATTTTTCAATATGTTTCATACATCATCGTTGATTTTGTAGCCAGCCTTATGATTTTGATAATTCGTTCAATCGTGAAGCACCACCAGGTGGGCTCATCCCAAATCCGTCAGGAACTGAGCGGTGTCGTCCGTCAGACGGCATGGTTCTTTCTGCAAAAGGTCCGACCAATCTTGTAGCTTCTATAAATAAGAACATGTTGCTTGTCGTTTGATCTTCTATGTCAATCTGTTTTGGACAAGGTCTTAGAGAATTTCTGCAAAGAAGACCAGTTGGATGATGGGAGAGTTTCTCATCCTTTCATATCGCCTATAGACTATAGAAGACCTCTTTCGAAATCCCATAGAAATCGAGGAGTTTCTCCCGGAAAGATCGCCTAAAGAAGACCGCTTTCGAGAGGAGCGTTGTTGCTGAGGTTCTGGAGGAGTCCTCAAGCCACTCGGTCTTTCGACGTCGAGACAGCCAGTCATCGGATCAGACGTTGCCCATTCGAACATTCAATTTCAATCATATAGAATATTATAGAACTATATAGAACTAGACTAGGTAGAACTAATGGATACAGGCAAAAGCCTGGGACTACGGAAGAAGGGTTGGGGTACGACTTAGGCAAATCTGGCTTTCCTTTAGCCAAATTTAGGTCCATCAAAAGGCTACGGTGTGACTGAACAGTGCATACCCTGCCGAAAAAAATGTGTGGATACCTGGACCATCAGGTAGTGCCGAAACCTGCGAGGAGCGCGGACGAACGGAGGGAAGAGAGAGCATCGTCCCAAAGAACGGGCTTTTGGGCATAGAAACATTCCCAGGCCATCCTTGAGATTGGAATAACAGCCATTGCGACATCGCGCGCGTCTGGTGTTCGCACCGGTCTGGGATTGTTGCTTGTTTTGGTTCCAATCGTAGGCACGGTGATGTTTCATGCCTACGAACAAATACACAGCGATACCCTCCACAGAACATGCCATGATGTGCCATGCAGTATCCTCAGAAATACATGCTTGGAATGAGTCTGTCTGGCCAACTCTGAAGGTGCCGGGCTCAAGAGGTGCCGCGCCCAGCTCATCGCATTGATTCAGCGAAGCCACCCGATGTTGCACCATTGCTGTGAGACTCGAGAGCGGATCAACGAGCGCCCAGCTGTCGCCCCTGGGCGCGCAAAACGGAGCCTGTTCAACCTGACAGGTTGACCTTTCGAGGTGGGTCCAAAAAGGCATCCTGGTTTTGACCCCAGCCATAGATATAGAACGTGCATGGGGCAACACCGGCTAAAACAAGCTTCTACCATTTTGATCCATTTTGTAGTTGACAGTCATGTTGCAGTGGTTCTGATGTGTTTTTTTGCACAAATATAATTTGCATGCAACACTAATTAGGGCATTCGCGACCTTAGGCCATGACATTCACAAATGTTTGGATGAGATTTGGACTTGAAGTGGCAGCCAGTCGAAACACGTCAAATCGTTTTCTCAAAATTCTAAATTCCAGGATGCTGACAGATCTGACAATCGTTCGCTCAAGATTCAACTAGCGACAAACTCAGGATTCTGACAATCTCAAAGCTCAATTTGCTGAAGAGTGGCACCGGATCCAAGCGGGCTTCACAGCAGCGCATCGAGAGCACCTGCTGGCAACAAATGCAACTGGGCTTAAGCTGGGCCAGCTAGCTGATTTCGAAAAGAGCGTAGGGGATTTGACACTGCGATGCAGTGGGCGGCTTGTGTTGGCAAAGCTTTCACGACAGAGCTTAAGTATGATAGAACCAGACACTCAGCCATAGATGTGAAGTGATGACGAGGGATGGCCTGCAAGGCCTAAGAGACTACAATGCCTGAATGTTGAAGGGTGTGCGTGTGTGTGTGTGTGTGTGTGTGTTTGTGTTTCAGTTTTATAATGGTTCCCTTCAGTTCTGAAAACATGAGCTGTTTCGGTTCCACTGTTCAGCGGCAATGTGCAGGAGTTGATCAACAAGATGCTCCGGCAGGGCGCGGGTGCTTCGCTTGTAAAGGAGACATCTGATTCGCCATCACCAGGGTACAGCCAGGGCGATCAGAGTACAATGAACGACTCTAATCAGAATGACGACAATTCAAAACAGGACGGCTTGGTGCCAGAAGGCGTTTCCTTGCAAGTCCCATCACGTGTTTTCAATGATGATGAGTTGAACTCACAAGCTCTGAGACGCGGAATGGAAAGCTTTATTGAGAGAGGCCCCTTGTTTGAAGGCTTAGAGCCACGCCGGGGCATGTCCAAAAAGCGGCGGCGCTTGTCTGCCAGGGAGAAGTTAATCTCAGGAGCGAGTACCATGATGCATGTGGCTAAAGAGATGACGGATCCACATGGCCTTGGATCATTGATCAACCAGTTGCCGTGTGGAAAGCGGTGTGCTCGGAAGTTCTTGGGTTGTGTGGAACACCTGGAGTCATTGCATGAGCCACCACGCACTGGCTGCCTAGCACGGATCATCAGCTCTACCTTTTTCAATATCTTGGTGGTTTGTGTCATTCTGGCCAACACTGCTGTAACCATCTATGAGGCGGACACCTCCATCCGAGCGCATAGTATAGACACAGGAATCAGATGGCTTAGCTATGCCGAGCTGGTCTTCAGTGGCTTCTATGTGGTCGAATTCTTGCTGAAGCTCTTAGTGCCTTGCCTGGTTTTCAGAAAACATGTGAGTACTTCATTGAGGAGTATTCAAAGTCAAGTTTTGACTAAAGCCTTGGCTACCGTAAGACAGAAAGCTACCTTGATCAGATTTGGACTCAACCCATGCATTACATGCATTTTTTTTGCTGCGTCACTCATGTGCCGCTATGTGCTGCTCGTAGCCAGGTTCACCGGTTGTTCTACTTCTGGTGTCCTGAATGGAGATGGAATGTCTTTGATGCCTTGCTCGCGACCTTGTCAGCTGTCAGTGCAGTGACCTACCTCATAGAAGCCGCCAATGGCGCCAATATGGGCTTCCTGCGCTCGTTCCGGTTCATCAAGGACCCAAACGACCAACCCTAAACAACTTTTGGTAAAACACTGTGGGGTACAAACATAACGACATTTTGCAGCACCCCAGAATGTGTCGTCCGCGCTGGCTCTTCCGGATGCGGTCGGGCGTGGTCCGCTTCGCTTGGTCCCCCCCTCCAGGTGTCTCGAATCCTTCGTGGACTTCGAGTGATTTCCTTTGTCCGGCAGCTTCGCATCTCGCTGTGATCAAATCCGCAGATTTGAATTGTTTTGTTTGTTACACTTCTGTAAGATTGTGATGTTTGCTTTATTCTCGCACAACTTTGTTTCATGGTTTGTAGACTTGTTTGTGTATTGTATGATATGGATTGATATGGTATGCTTGTATGCTGTATTCACCGTGGGCAATCTTCCAAAAACTCGGGGTTGTACTTCTGCAAGGGAGCAAGTTACGAACGGACGAGACTCTCAGGTATCATGGTCTCCTCAATCGTTGGATCGGCGATGGCCTTGTTCTGGAGCCTGTTGGTCTCTTGGAAGATTTCCTGGGCCAAGAATGGTCAAGATATGTCAAGATAGAATTCGGAGAGTTGAGTGGCTTGAGAACTTTTTCGGCTCAGTGAAGCAGCATCTTGAGCTTCGGAGCTCTCGGGTTGAGGCTCGGCTGGACTGTGCCGAAAACTGAGGTTCTTTTGATCGTTGAAGTGGTGTTCTCAATCCTGTTCGTGCAGCTGGTGACCAACTTCCTGGTGTGCTGGATGCAGTTGGTCCAGTCTGTGGGTTTATCATGGTTTATCCATTGTACATGGTTGCAGTGGAGATATGTATATGTGTCGTACATACACGGAAGATAATGGAAGATCAGCATAGAACCCGACAAAAGACGATGTTCCGAACTAAACCCCGTGTTTTTTTTTCAGGTTCCATGTAAGTCTCTTCCAGAGCGCATAGTCTGGGGCGTAGGTGGCCAGGACATCAGACATGCGAACTTTTGACTCTTGACATCAGAGCGTATAGCTACGTAGGGATCGCTCGAAAAGGCTGTACCGCTGGAGAACATCCACATGAGCTGCAGGATACAACTTAGTCTCCAAGTGAAGAAAGGAGTTGGATGATATGCGATGGTGTTCAAACCACATGCAGTGCGTGAGAATCAAACTTCAGACACGTTCAACTTTGCACACCACTTTGCACACTGAGGCAGACGTAGAGACTGGAAGTACACCTGCAGCCGAACGATTGGAAGTGCCTTTGCGTCACCCATCACCCATCACCCGACCTGGTACCGCTCGGGTCCGGTCGCCCGTCGCCCAAGGCGTGGTTCCCTTCGGTGGCCGGAACCATGATTTCCTTATTCGGTTCAACGACGGGTGGGATCGATTGGATGGGCATCTACCATGATTTGGAGCCCCTGGGGAGGTTTGCACAATCGGAAGCTTGGCGCATTTGCATGTATTGTATTTGGAGTAGCTGAGCAGCTCCAATGTGAGACAAACACTGTCCAGACAGCCATTTGTTTGCCATGATCCAACTTCCTGCCCCACTGTGAGCACACGAGGCTTTCCTCTTTTACATCGCATTTTTCACCATCGCAGTCTTCAACATCTTGACTGGCATCTTCGTCGAGAAGGCGCTTCACATGTCCGACCAAGCAGACCGGGCGGTGGAGTATATGAAACAGGAGCGCGAAGATGCACAGGACCTCCGGCAAATTTGTAATCGAATTGACTGCGATGGAAATGGGCGGATTGCGTGGCCAGAGTTTGAAGCGTCTCTTGGGCTGGATTGCGGGGCCGGCCGAACAGACGACGGGATTGGCGTGTTTGACTCGTACACGCACGGCACGCACGGCACCCATTGGTGTCACTTCAGACTTCAACTCATAATTGGTTTCTAAACATGTGGATTGATGCAGGTGCATACTCTTTCTGCCTTGCAATGAATATTTGCGTGCGAGTGAAGCTGACAAGTTCACTTTGAAACAGTTCGGGATCGTTATGTATAGCATTACTATGCATTACTGCATGCATTCATATGTATAATATATATATATATATATTATAATATTTGTATGTACGTATTTATGTGACTCAAAGGTAGTGCGCAATGGTAGCGTGCGGGTTCTTCGCAGCCATGTTTCAAAGTCATCAAAGGAACTGACATTTTTTAACAGTATGTTGATCCTTTTTGAAGCTTGAGATTCATTCGGCGCAAAAACACACTATACTATGGATAACAATAAGTTATGTGGTAAATTCATTCATCAGATGTCAGGAGTCAGGAAGCTGAGAATGTGAAGACCAATAGTATTGATTCTTTGCTTTGGATTGTTGGATCAATATTCAATGTGGTCCAGAAAGTGTGATAAAACGAATCGAGTGCGGAACAGTCGTGCAGGCTAGTCGCCACGCATTTAAAAATTGTATCCTTCATTGTGTCATGACTAAAAGCTTTTCCCGTTTCCCTAGTTATGTACTTGAGGATGACATTAGGATGATAGGATAGATTTCATGCTGTCCGTGCGATGCTCGCTGCATCAACGCTTTGATACTCTTGCCCACGTTGCATGATTGAGTAGGTGCCCGCCGTAGTCAGTCAGGAGTCCCACTACAGTGCCCACGCTTTGGTCAGCCCCCCTTGCCGAAGCCAAGGTACATGCAACACAACAACGATGGTTTCGCGCGCCTCAAGGTGCGAAGAGTCGCTATTTGACCGGTGAGGGCGGTCGGGGGCCGACCTGGTGGATAGGAGAGTGGAGTACCGCCCCCCCTTCCTCTTACCAATATATATTGCACCAGAGATTTTGTCCACGTGATCGAGTGATCCAAGCAATTGTTTCTCTTGATCAATGGTATTGGGTTAGAGGCCATCAGTGTTAGGCCATTTTGATGTGCTGTGCTTTAGCACGAGTTGGTCAGGGCAGCCCACCTTCCCCTGTCTTCCCCTCATTGCTTTTTTCTCGGGGGCCCAGAATTGCTTTGGGTCGGGTCTATTTCTTCCAAACATTTGTCTATTTGTTGAGGTATTGTAAATGGTGAAGCCTGGCGAAGATCCGCTTTGGCAAGAGATTGTCCCATGTCCTAGAGGGCATGATTTGATTCAGAGTAGACGGGACTGGCACCCCAAGATGTCTTGAACAGATGGGGGTCTATATTAACCACCAAACTTGGGGTAACTTGTGTGATGTACTCTCCATCAGTCACAAAAGCTATATTAATCACTAGTTTTCTAAAATCATTAACACCAACTCTAAAGTTATATCTATTAGTAGTTATTGATTTGAGTAGATATTTTTCTTGTTGATCCAAAAAGCATAACAATCTCATCTTTGCAAGCCACATCGCCTTGTTCACCGGCCGGCCTCGTGAACCAACCGCTCGAAGGCCTGCGGCTTGGACGTTCACGATGTTCACGAGTTCTTTGTGAGCCTGACCAGCGGGCAGCCGGCCGAGACCGTAGAGATTGAAGACTTTATCCACCATGCCATGAGGCGACCAGGGCGGGAACACGGACGAAACTCGGACGAACACGGACGGACAGGGCGCAAACCGAATTCCCCAAAACATGTAGGTTGCCATGCATGGTGGAGGCTTCTCAGGTTGTGCAGGTCAGCACTGCGTCAGGATGCGTCAGGTAGGTCTTCGTGTCATCTGAGAGAGGTATTCTCCTCGTTCCACGCGACCAGGCTGCGGGGGACCGCGACCAGTATACAAGTGAAATCCATCGCATCTCAGATGATGCGTGTGCAGTCCGAGGCGCAGCCCGATCTCGCGGGTGATTGTTGGGGCCCGTTACGGGCTTCTCACAAGCTCCCAAGATTGGCCAGTGTGATTACCCCCCCTAATGAAACAATCCGATATTCAAAGGCACGTCAAGAGTCAAGAATGAACCTAGAAACGTCAGCAGGCGTGAACCTGTATAGCATTTTGATATTACTTTCACTAAAGGGGTTTGCTTCCCTTCAAATGGCTTCCCTTCAAAGGGCATGTTGATTGCATGTCAATTTCTCGGAAGCTTCGAGTGGATCCTGGTACAACTTGAAGACTCTCAGGCACTTTAATCAGTTTGCACAACACGTTGCAATTCCTTGCGTCGAAAGCTCTTCGGGAAGTGGCATCGGTTTTCACTATTCCATGCTGTTTGATAGTTTTTGAGGACACGCAACATGCACATATTCCAGCTATTCGTTCGTATGTCGCTGAAGGATGCAAGAGATGATGTAAGCATAAGCCAGCATAAGCTATGGTAGCCCGTAAGCTATGGGTCCTCCACGCATCTGCAAAATATGGAGAAACAGGATGAAACATAGAAACTGTCTGAGTGTGCGCACATTGTATGACACCAACTGTTGATGCATAAGACATCTTAAAGATTGTGTACAAGTATGGTCTTTGGGGGTTGAGCACCTCCAGATCTGAGCGGCAAAGGCTTCGGCAGAGGCTTTAAAGGTACCTTCCCCGACTTGGTGATCTGGAATGCCAACCAAAACCTTTGCCTGCACAAGATTCACACCATTTGCCATGCACTTCAAGTTGATGCACAGATTCGAGGGTCCTGTTTTGCTGATTCGTGCAACAAAGACTCACACACGGAGGCTTCCACAGCATGGGGGGCTTGAGCCATTCAACATATTCAATGCTGCAGCCATTCGATGCTGTTTTGACACCACAGAGTTTCGCTGCAGGGCACTGATGTGTTGTCCGTGTTTCTGTCCGCGAGTGGGTCTTTGGATGTACGGATGTGATTGGAATGTACGGTTGTGAATGCGACATGTATATTGTTCGAAGATGTCCAAGGTTGAAGGCGATAGCACCGCACATGCACAGACACTATGAGCACTTCGAGTTTCACACTTCCTGTGGCAAGCCCAAGCCCCGACAAAATGGCCTTTTGTAAAGGTGTTTGTGGTTGTCACTTCGCAAGTTAGTTGTGTCACGTCCAGAGATACAGCCGTGAACAGATAAAGGTGGACGATGCTAATGAATTATACGCGTTGAATCTAGAGCAGAACTCCCAATTTCAATTTGAATACATTCTGATACATTCTGATAGTAGCACCTGTGGACAAAACGTCGTTTCGTCTTGTAGCAGTGAGCACTAGGAAGCCTGCAGCGGCCAGGCACAGGAAGCAATGATGTGGAAAGTTGACATGATGACACATCAGCTCTACAAGGCTTTAGCATCCATCAAGGCGGATGTCAAACCCAAGCGGACGCTGAGCAGCAACATGGAAGCTTGCAGCTTTTAGATTCGAGATGATTCAAGACTGCCTTTGTGATCGCTGCAAATTAAACGGAAAGAGTTCCGGCACATGATATCTGGTGTAGTTCGGGCCACATGAAATCGCCCGCTCACCTCCAAAAACGACTCGTTGGCCGAATGCCTTTTTTGGGGTCGTGGTGTGCTTGTTGCATGGCGTGGCGTGGCCATGGAATGGCCTTAATGTTGTACAGGGAGCAAGGTGAGACTTCGCTTTGCTCGAATGTTGGGCCGAGAATTGACTGCTTTCGCGCTATTGAACAGTTGTTTAGAGCGGAGGAGTGTGTGTTTTGAAGCATATGTCGAACCTTGGTTGAGCAGGCTTTTCATCATTGCATTCAATATATTCTTATGATAACTTATGATTCTTAATCATGTCATTATATATATATAAAACATACCCCTCCACATGCTCCTCCGCTCTGGCATTATCTTGTGCAGGTGGAATCGCAAAGCGACTCTCACCGGAGTAATACCGCCAAGGATGCATAAATCTCCATCCAAACACCTTTTCAAGGTTCTGGTTAGAAAAAATGCGTGTCTCCATTTAGTTCACGTATCGTTGCACGGATATTTAATTTTACTATATAAGTTAGTCAACACATGTTAACACCTGAAAAGCACCTGGTTCAAGAGGAAATGAGTCGACACCAGTGGTCCATGTTGAAATCGCTTCTATGTTCTTCCTGGTCGCGGGTGAAGCTGTCATCTTTGATCGGAGAAGATGCTGGAAGATGTGGTCGCATGTGATTGGACAAACGTCGCAGGACTTTCCAGCTCTTGATCCTTGGCGTGCCATCAAGGCAGATGGGAGCCCAGCAGTGTCCAAGGCGGGGCGACGACGTCCCCCGAGAGAACGAGAGAATGCAGCGGTGTCCAAGGCCGACGATGGTTTCGCAAGCGGAGTCGGATCCAGCAAGCTGTGGTTTGGCAGGTGCTGCATGTGGTGGCTTCACTGGCGCTACCAGATGCTGCACACAGAGAAAAAGAAGGTCTCAAACTCGAAGACCTATGAATTGCCGGTACAGACTTATGACCAATTCAACTACTGCAGCCAGGGGGCATCAAGAAAGGCCAAACGTTGCTGATAGAAGTTAACACAGTTAACACACTCTTTTTTGACAAATTGTGCAGTGAACAAGTCACATGTTGAACTATTGATGTTGTCAGGACTGCATATCAGCTTGTTGAAGTGATCGCCTGATCAAGAGCGAAGTTTCAAGAAATATTATGAAATATTATAAACATATAAAAATGATGAAATGAAATCTATATATATATATGGTACATGCACTTCCCAGCTTTACGTCATTTCACAGTTTGGACCCACCACTGGGCGCCCCATGTGTCCGTGTTCCAACCTTTGTGCCCGTCGATGCGCGAGGACAGACGTCATCGGTCTTTTTCCTGGTTCCTTGCGGCGGGAAGCCCCAGCGGTTCGAACCACACCGGGGACCGGGTCGAACGCGTCCGAGACACTCGGACGCGTCTTGACCCAAAGGTCGACATACTGTTGCGACATGTTACGGCTACACAAACAAATTGACAGCACTATGCAGATGTTTTGCAGAAGCACCACATGCTGACAATCCTGGATGCGGCGTGGCATGGCCGGGCGCCACTTCTCAGGAAACGGTCAGCTCCTGCATGGAGTAAGCTGTCACCGCCGTGCCAGGTCCCGAGTGGAAAAAGCGGAAGCTCAGCACGTAGTGGATGCGATGTCTTGGCTGTAAGAAGTTCTCCAAAGCGGAAGAACCTCACGACTGTATATATATATATTAATATATACTAACCAATAGGCCCAAAAAGAGTGCCCTAAGGTTGACACTGTGTTCAGAGAGTCCCAATGTTCCCTAGGTGGAAGCAGCTGAGCTACTGCACAGAGATGCTAGTGTGGCTTGGTTTCAGACTGCTTTGTGCGGATAAAGCCTTGAAGTTGAAAAGACCCTGGCCTGAACCGTCCGCCATGAGCTGTAGCTGTGGTCCTATTGGGTGTTCATTCAGCTTTATTCATATCATTGTACAAACATGTTTTCACAACCTCCCCTGTACCACATGTTTTCAGCGGTACCCAAGAGAAAGGAGAGGTGGGACTGCCCATCTTGACATTGCCCCAAATAGCCTGGAGATTCTGCCTCCGAACAAGCAAAAAGGAGCCATCTTTGCCCCAAGAGATCAAGAGCAATCCGATCATCAGACGGAATGAACACTGATCATCACAACCAATCACAACCAATCTGCATGCGAAGAAGCGCCAGGGGTGCTGCGCCTGCAGGTCTCCAGAGGTGCTGTGCAAAAAGCCGTGTGCGTCCTACTTCGTGGTCCTTTTTTCGGGCTCGTCCAGCAGCGGCTCAGCCCTGTCACACAGGTGCGCTTCTCCGTGACTCGTGACACGGGGGCGGTTCGTGGTCCGAACTGGGAGTGTGGCAGTATAGTCAACGAACAGATCCAGTATGATCCAGTTGTTACAGTGGTTTCCAGAGTTTTTTTGGGGCACCATCCCCAAGTTCGGTGGTCTATATATATGATATGGACCCCCAATTTGTTCATCTTGGGGGTCTGTGCGAGGCGAGTCTGTGCCATTGACGAAACCACATATAAGTGCTTTGCAGTGGCAAGCTTCCTTCAAGGACTCGGTCGGACTGGGTGATGAAAACTGAAAATCACCTGCCCACACATGCCCACACTCAAAATCCTCAAATGTCCTGTCTCCAACTCTGGTACCCTGACAAGTTAAATGCAGCTAGCTAGCAAGGGCTAGTGTTTAAGCCATGTTGATACATGTTGATACTAGAGTCTCGGATCTAGAATGCTCTCAAAGAGTCACATGATCCTCGAGGGGACGCTATAAAATAGGGAGCTCGAGGTCCAAAACCCCAAAACATGTGGCCCAACCCCTACCCGCCCGTAAGGGAGATCCCAAGGGGACCTAAAGCGTTCCGAACTTTCACATGGCGCCTTGGGTGGCAAAGACTCTCCGCGCTCCAGGTGTTCTTTGAACAACGTGATTTTCGGTGTACAGATCTACTGCGCGACTTCGATGCCCAGCATCCTGGATGCAGAGACACTTCTGAGGACAGCATGCATAGATACGCATTGCCTTTAACTTTGTGGGTGTTATGATCAGACTTTGCGGCTTGTTGTGGGGCGTTGTAGCAGCTAGTACTTGTGAGTCAGAGCATTTCATTGCGCAAATTTGTATCCTGACAGCTTCAATCTTCGGTGGTTCGAGTCGATACAAGCTTCGTTGCCACGACGCCGTGCTGACTGAGGTTAGACTCCGTGCCGTTTGAAAAGCTTCCGGCCGCTCGGCCGAGTTGCCGTGCGGTCGGGTTCGCTTCTAGAGCAACTATTTTGGGGCCATGGCTAGAGCAACTATTTTGCTAGGTTCTTGCCACTGTACCCAGTGCAATGCTCATGATGGGGTCGATTCAATCAAAACATCATGTCTTTTGAATGGTCGCCTGGATTCAACCATGAATCACTTGTAAGGAGACTGACCTCTTCTTTGGGATTGATCACTCGCGGCTCTTCCTTGCTTTGCAGCACAAGCTCTTGAGCGTTTTAAAAGCGATCATGCTGGAGGCAAAGGTCCTCGCACAGCCCTCAGTCGTGGAGGTGCCAAAAACACGGAAACAATTTGATATATGAATTATGAGATGATACTAGCGACCAGCCTTTTGAGATCTGTCCGGGAAATGGAGAAGCAGAAATTGTTCACAAAAGAAATTGCTAATCTTGCTTACCAGGACCCTCCTGTCGGGGTGTCTATTCATAGCCCCTTAGCTGTTAAGGGGTGTCCATTAACCTGCCAAGAAATCCCAGGTGATTTCCGACAGTCCAGAGCAGTGCAGTCGCGCCGTTTTGGCCATCCTCTCACTACTTCCGGGTGGGCTTTGGTTGGGCTTCAACTCGGATGGCTTCGGCGAACGACATTTCCAGCCACTTGCTTAGCCGATGTCCGTACCGAAGTCATTGGAGTCATTGGAGTCGTGTACTTTCAATAGTTCGGCCAGATGAGTTTGGGATCCGGTTTGGGCCTTTTGGCGAAATAGACTTTCAGCCCAAGGTATCAGAAGCATGGTTTTCCCATCCAGTGCTTTGGACCCCGTTGCTGCGCTGGGATCCCAAGCGTTTGCTTATTGATCTTGTTGAATATGGTTTTGTTTGTATGCTCACCATGGTCATATCATGCCGATTTCTCATGGCATAGACCAGATATCACGAGGTGTATCCTTATCTGGGCTTGCAGATGCTAGACAGCTTGCTGCAAATGCGCGGCTTCTTGATTGGAACGACCAATCGGATTTTCCTGGAGCGCACCAGCCCACACGTCGTCCTGGAGGCCAAAGCACTATAAGTGATATTAGTGATAGACGATTGCATCGAAACCTACTGCAATGGCAATGGCCTCCAACCTAATAGCGATGGTCCAACCTAATAGTGATGGCCTCCAACCTAAAAGCGATGGCCTCCAGCCTAATAGCAATGGCCTCCAACCTAGTAGCAATGGCCTCCAACCCAAGAGCAATGGCCTTCAACCCAATAGGAATGGCCTCCAACCTAATACTCGTAGCGATTAATACCGATGGCCTCCAACCCAATACCAATGGCCTCCAACCTAATAGCGATGGCCTCCAGCCTAATGGCAACGGCCTCCAACCTAGTAGCAATGGCCTCCAACCCAATAGCAATGGCCTCCAACCTAATAGCGATGGCCTCCTAATAGCAACGGCCTCCAACCTAGTAGCAATTGCCTCCAACCTATTAGCAATGGCCTCCAGCCTAATAACAATGGCCTCCAACCTAATAGCAATGGCCTCTAACCTAATCGCAATGGCCTTCAACCTAATAGCAATGGCCTCCAACCTGATGGCATTGGCCGCCAACCAAACGGCCATGGCCTCCGACCTAGTAGCGATGGCCTCCAGCCTAGTAGTGATGGCCTCCGACACCCTCCAACCTAATCGCAATGGCCTCCAACCTACTAGCGATGGCTATCAACCTAATGGCAATGGCCTCCAATAGTGATGGCCTCCAACCTAATAGCGATGGCCTCCAGCCTAATAGCAATGGCCTCCAACCTAGTCGCAATTGCCTCCAACCTGA